TGGGGGTTGGGGGGGGGGGCGCATGCATCCTCTTCTTTATTTCCCTTATTTGTCTCTTTTATTCATAATATTATTATTTATTAATGTAAATAGGGCAGTAAATAGGAGAAAACAAATAATAAAATAAATAAATAATGTAATTAATAAATAAATAAGAGGGGGAAATAAATAATAAATTATATATAACTAATAGATGTATAGGTACTAGTATTATATACTATTATTTATATGCATGCATAATATAAATCATAAACATGCATGCATATAATATACACTATAACAATACATCTTCTCTTTTTGTTCTTTTATTTATTTATTTATTTATACTTTTTAGTGTTTAGGGTTTAATAAAGTGTTTAGGGTTTAGGGTTTATTTAAGGAGACAAAGAACTACTGCATGCATTGCATGCATTACATGCATGCATGCATGCACGCATGCATGCATGCATGCGTGCAAATATCTTCTATTTATATAAAAGAATATAAATAAATATTATTCCTTTTCTTATCATCGTAAAGAGAAACAAATAAAATATATAAACAATCTACGAAACATTGTACAGAGGTGCCTCAATTAGGGTTTAGGGTTTAGGGTTTAGGGTTTAGGGTTTAGTGCATGGAGGGCGTCGGTTGGCATCTTGGGTCATTGTACACTCCATAAGATGCATGCAGCAATAAAGCAATGGCTAGCTAGCTAGCTATCTAGCTAGCTAGCTATCTAGCTAGCTAGCTATCTGGCTAGCTAGCTGGACAGCTAGCTTTAATTAAGAGACTTATTGGGTCCTCAATAAATGGCTGTAGCTAGCTGTGGCTAGCTAGGTATAGCTAGCTACGTGGCTACCAGCTAGCCACACAGGCTGAGGGTAGCTAGCTGCTCCTCCCCTTTATATATAAATATATATTTATACATAATTTAATTATATTTTTATTACGAATTTATCCTTCCTCTTATTGTATAGACCATGAATTACTATAAAAGGAATATATAAAGGATATTTTTTCCCTTTTTTTTCCTTATAAAGGATAAAAAGACAAATAAATATAATAGTATATAAAAAAGACACAATAAATAAATAAATTAGATAAGAATAAAAGACAAAACAAGTAGAGAAGTAATTGTGTATAATTAAATAGAGGAGAAGATGAACCTTATAGAGCTGCATATACACCGTAAATATATAAGAAGAAGAAAGAAGAACGCCTCTTTATGCCTCTTAATAATGTATGACTAAATTAGTTGTATATTTGTATATTCAGTATATATGTATATAAAAAAAAGGAGAAAAAAAAATATAAATAAGTAATTAAGGATACGCGAGTGAATGGATCTAGAAGACAAAGAATAAATAAATAAATAAATAAATAAACAAATAAAGAAGGGATGGATATGTTTGTGTATTTTGTATACCTTTAAGAAGAGGGGCCTCTGTCTGTCTGTCTTCTTATCCGGTCCCTCTGTTCCTTATTCTTCGTTCTTTTATTCATCTTTTATTGAAGCAAATAAAAAAATAATTAAGAGGAAGGTTTTAGATTAATTTATCATAAAGATTATCTTTTTTGTATTTATTTGTCTTTTTCTCCCTATGGATGAATACACCGTACTGCAATGGTTCTTCCTGTCTGTTGGGAGCCTGACCACCAGCAGCAGCTGTCGTCATCGGGCTTTCTTGGTAGAGGAATAAAATATTAATACTTTCCTTCTATAAAAGGGCAGATCTTCCTTTTATAATTAATAAAAATGACTAGAAGTAGAAGAAGAAGAAACGATTTAATCTGAATATTCTTATGGTGATACAGTTGAACATCCTGCCGCAAGCCGGTAGTAGAACGGTTGCTGCTAGCGAAACCTTTGACGAAATGGATATGTCTGGCCTCTTTCGAGGATAAAATAAGGTTAAAAAGTAAATTGAGAAGAAAACCTAATTTATTTTTAATTTAATTCATAATTTTATTCATGAAAAACGCTTAATCGACCGATACTCGCTAGTCCACCGGAGCGTCGGGTCATTGAGTACTTCTTACATTACGGTGTACGTACACCTGAAGATCGTAGCGGCGGCTGCGATTCTTCTTGTTCTTCTTCTTTGGCTTTTTTTCGGATATAGACTTGTGATGAAAAAGCCAAAAAGACGAATTTATTGCTTTTTTGAAAGCCGATGACTTAATCTCTCTTTACATGTTATCGGCTGTTGTGTGTGCCTCCGCATGCCTTTAATATAGGAAGGATTCAGGGTTGATCTCGTTAATATTGCATGCATGAATACTTATTCAAGTATTTGAATAAGTGTATTTTCTTCTAATATAGATAGGTGTCGATATTTAAATACTAGAGAAGAAGGATCATTTTCTTGTTTTTCTTTTCCTTCAAATCTCGACACCTCTGTTCTTCTTCTTCTTCTTCGTCTGTTGCGGTTGCTGCACTCAGTGCTCGTGCATGCAATGAGCCCATAGGTCGTTTTAATCCATCCTTTTATATATTTAGCCTTGTGAATCCTTATTGATAGGATGGAGGCGAAGGCAATAAGCAAGAAGGCAGGGGCGCCAGCCCCAAAGCCAAAGATAAAGAGGAAATATTCAGAAGTACAATTAGGTGATTATTTAATAGGATCACAAGTATGGATAAGAGACAATAAAAAAGAAGAATTATATACATTAGCAACAGTAAAAAAAATAGAGGGAACAACATTAACAGTAGAAATAGATGGAGGTGTAACAAAAGATGTACAACAAGATGAATGTCTTAATGCAAATGTTGGTGTTACACCAGAAACATGCAATGATTTATCTAAATTGCCGCATGCAAATGAGGCTGCAGCCCTACAAATTATAAGGGATAGGTATCTTAAGGATCAAATCTATGTAAGTTATTTATTTATTTATTTATTTTTCTTTCTTTCTATCCCTTCCTTCTTTTCTTGTTTCCTTGTTTCCTTCCTTTCTTGCTTTCCTTCTCTCCTTGTTTCCTTCTCTCCTTCTTTCCTTCTTTCTTTCTCTCCCTCTCTCCCTTCCTTCCCTTCCTCCCTTCCTTGTTTCCTTCTTCCCTTCATTCTTCTTCTGTCCCTTCCTTCTTCCCTTCCTTCTCTCCCTCCCTTCTTCCCTTTACCTATAACACCATAATGACTAAATTATCCTTCTCTCCCTTTTTTCCTCCCTAATCAATAAAACTATATCCCTTTCCCTCCCCTTCCCTTCCCTCCCCTCTCCTTCCCTCCTCTTCCTTCCCCTCCCCTTTCCTTCCCTCAACCAACCAAGCAAACAACATATATATATAGATAAGTAAATAAGAAAGTATATATTAATATGTTGATGTGTACAGACATATGCAGGCCGTTTATTAATAGCAATGAATCCTTTTAAATTAATTCCTGGTTTATATGATTCTTCCTGCATAACTCGTTACCAGAACAGTGACACCTCAAGAGGATTTCCTATTGATTTACCCCCTCATACTTATTCAATAGCACAATTAGCTATGGATTATTTACGTATTAATAAAGAAAATCAATCATGTATTGTATCTGGTGAATCAGGAGCAGGAAAAACAGAAACAGCTAGACAATTAATGCAATATTTTGCTACAGATAAACAAGGAAAAGGAGGATCTAAAATACAAGATATTATATTAGGTGCTAATCCTGTACTAGAGGCTATAGGTAATGCTAAGTAAGTTATTTATTTATTTATTTATCTTATTTATTTATTTATTTATTTATTTATTGTATATTGTTGTATTGTTATCTACATACATCATGATTATATATAATTCATTAAGAACTGTACAAATATACACTTTTCTCTCCCTCTTGTACTAACACCGTTCCTTCTACTCCTGCTGCTGCTGTTGCTGCTGCTGTTGCTGCTGTTGCTGTTGCTGCTGTTGGTGGTTGTACAGGACATTAAGGAATAATAATTCATCACGATTTGGTCGTTTTGTTAAGTTAGATGTATCCCCTACAGGAGGAATAAGAGGAGGAATAATAAATAATTATATGTTAGAATTATCTCGTATAGAATTTCAATCTAAAGGGGAAAGAAATTATCATATTTTTTATCAATTAATAAAAGGATTAAATAATAATGATAAAAATAATTGTTTATTTAAAAATATTCATGAATATGAATTTCTTAATAAAAGTGATTGTTATGAAGTTGATACTGTTGATGATCTTAAAGAATTCAATGAAGTACAACAACAATTAGAGTATGTTTATTCTCCTCCTCCTCCTCCTCCTCCTCCTCCTCATGCTGCTCCTGCTGCTGTTCTTGTTGTTGTTGTTGTTGCTGCTGCTGCTGTTGTTGTTGCTGTTGTTGTTGTTGCTGTTGGTTGTGGTGGTGGTGGTGTTGCTCTTGCTGTTGCTGTTGCTGTTGCTGTTGTTGTTGTAAGTCATAAAAGGGAGAATGTACAGCATAATAGATTTATAGTTGTTGTGTACTAATTGAGGTGTATATGCATACACCTGATTATATTATATATACACATTTCTTTTTTTTTTCTTGTTTTTTTTCTTACAGTCAATTATTCACAAAAGAAGAAAAGCTGGCATATTTTCAGATTCTTTCTGCTGTTCTTCTTTGTGGTAACATTGACTTCGTTAATGTACAAGCCATGGGTACAGATAAGTACGTTTATTTATTGTTTATAGTGTATATATATACTATATATATACTGTATATATAGAATATATAAATATAAATGTATATAGACACTCATGCAACAACATATAGATAAACAAACCTAAAAAGCCTCTCCTTCCTTTCTTTGTTTGTTGATGCTGATTCAAGAATGCGTCATCTTGTTGTCCTTTTTATTTGTTGTTTATTATTATAATGTATTTATTTATTTTATTTATTTTATTTGTTGTATTTATTTTATTTATTTTATTTATTTGTTTCTTTTATTTATATACAGAGCAGCAAAGTTACGTAATGAGACAGAGTTTGAACAAGTCGCTACTCTCCTAGGTGTCAATAAAAGCTCTATGTTAGAGGTAAACCCTAAACCCTAAACCCTAAACCCTCTAAACCGTCTAAACCCTCTAAACCCTAAACCCTAATATAGGACAAAAGTTAGTTAATTGATAACAGAGAGGTTTAATAAAAAGAGAAATAATAATATTAAACAAGATAAAGTAAATATAAATAATGGGTAATAAATAAAGTATCCAACATAATTTTTTATCTTTTTTTTTTTTTTTTTTCCTTTTTTTTAGGCGTTAACAATAAATACAGTAGAAGTTCGTGGTAATATAATAAAAAGTCCCTTATCTGCAGAACAAGCATTAGTTATGTGTAGATCTATGGCTAAAGAAATATACAGTGTACTATTTGATTTTATTGTTGAATCTTTTAATCAAAAAATACAATTTGATCATGAAAATAAAGTATGGATAGGGGTAAGTATATATAATTTATTTAATTAATTAATTAATTAATTAAATTAATTAAAATAAATTAATTAATTAATTAAATTAATTAATTAAAACAAATTAATTAAATGAACACTTTATTTTTTCTTTGTTTTCTTCTTTTTCTTTTTTCTCCATCTATAGATATTAGATATAAACGGTTGTGAATTCTTTGGGAAGAATAGCAATAAAGAATTATAAATAAACACCTAAATCAGCACATAAATAAATAAATAAATAAGAATAAATAAATAAATAAATAGATTTATTTATTTATTTGTTTATTTATTTCGTCTTTTTTTCCCATTTAGATCCTGGATATATACGGATTTGAATTGTATATATGTATATATTAATATAA